TATTAATTGGATTATTAAATTAATTAAAAAATTCAGATATTTATTGTAAATAAACTTTCTATAATTATTTATAAAATAAAAAGAAGGTGAAAATTATAGTTTTCTTATTTAATAAAATAGAGTCTATGCATATTATTTAATTAATCAATAATCAATCAAGTAAGCTACTTTGAAGATCAAACATGCGAAATATAGATAAAACTATGGTCTTTCCAACAAGTTTATTGAAAGTTCTGTAGTGCTTACGGTTTTCTTGCAATAAGTTATCAAAATTGAAAAATTAAATTCAAGCGCTAAAATCAAGGTTTTCTCATTTTATCTAATTACTTAAAATGATAATTAAATGATCAATTATGAATATTAGTGATAAAACTATGGACTTTCAAATAAGTCTATTGCAATTAAATTCGTCCTCAAAAGAAATGAGTTTTTATAGTTTGTTTAATTACTCTAATAATCAAGTAAACTAAGTTAATAATGTAATTTAAACAGAAAACTATGACATTTCCAATGAGTTAACTAAAATGTGTGCGGTAATTAGAGTTTTACTTGAAATAAGTTATCAAAATTGAAAGATTTTTGATTACACCAGATTTTGGTCCTTTCCTTTGCTAAATGAAATCCAATACATTTTGTTCGTTTCATACTAAAAGTTTGATTATTATTCAGAAATTATTAATTGGATTATTAAATTAATTAAAAATTTCAGATATTTATTGTAAATAAACTTTCTATAATTATTTATCAAAAGAAAAAAGGTAAAAATAATCATTTTCTTATTTACTTTAAATATGTTGTTTAAATAAGCCTACTACGATGTTAGTGAGGTATTTGTTGTTTAACTACAATAAAGTGCTTCAATAATAATAATACTTTGAAGATCCAAAATGCAAAATATATATAAAATTATGGTCTTTCCAACAAGTTTATTAAAAGTTCTGTAGTACTTACGGTTTTCTTGCAATAAGTTATCAAAATTTAAAAATTAAATTCAACCGCTAAAATCAAGGTTTTCTCATTTTATCTAATTACTCAATAATCTGAAAAGATAATTAAATGATCAATTATGAAGATTAGAGATAAAACTATGGTTTTTCAAATAAGCCTGTTTTCTAATAATCTGTCAAAATTTAGCAATTAAATTCGACCTCAAATGAAATGAGTTTTTATATTTTGTTTAATTACTCTAATAATCAAGTAAACTAAGTTAAAAAATCAATAATGCAAATTAATTACATTTTACTTGAAATAAGTTATCAAAATTGAAAGATTTTTCGTTTTGTCTTCGATTTTTTTTTAAATTATTAATTAATAAAGTTTGCTAATTGGAACATAAAAAATACAAATTAAATAGAAAGTTTTGAATAAGCCTACTACGATGTTAGTGGTTTAATAAAATAGAGTCTATGCATATTATTTAATTAATAAATAATCAATCAAGTCAGCTACTTTGAAGATCAAAAATGCAAAATATAGATGAAACTATGATCTTTCCATCAAGTTTATTAAAACTTCTGTAGTACTTACGGTTTTCTTGCAATAAGTTATCAAAATTGAAAAATTAAATTTAACTTCTAAAATCAAGGTTTTCTCATTTTATCTAATTACTCAACAATCTGAAAAGATAATTAAATGATCAATTGTGAAGATTAGAGATAAAACTATGGTCTTTCAAATAAGATTATTTTCTAATAATCTGTCAAAATTTAGCAATTAAATTCGACCTGAAAATAAATGAGTTTTTATATTTAATTTTTCTAATAATCAAGTAAACTAAGTTAAAAATCAATAATGTAAGAAAATTATAACATTTCCAATGAGTTAACTAAATTGTGTATGGTAATTACAACTTTTCTTGAAGTAAGTTATCAAAATTGAAAGATTTTTCGTTTTGTCTTCGATTTTTTTAAATTACTAATTAATAATGTTTGCTAATTGAAACATATAAAATACAAATTAAAGACAAAGTTTACAAAATTTGTAAAATAAATATTAATTATTAACCAAAATATGATAATTTTTCCAACAATATTTACATATTTTTATGAAAAACTATTGATAAATTATATTTGTTTGTTAAACATTGGTACGATTGTATTGATGTTGACTTGTAGACATAAAATATTAATGAAGTGTTCACTTTGTTTTCTAATTAAGTTAATCAAGGAAAACAACGTTAATACCTGTCGTCTTTCAACTGTATTTCTAAATAGAGAGAAACAACAAAAAGAACGTCTGTTATTGATGAATTAATTGGTGCGATGACTGTTTCCATTTAGTTCGAGTTCGGTTAGAAATAAAGAAATAAAGTTGTTGCCTTTTTTCCCGTCAAAGTCTATTAAGGATACACGTCGAAAGGACAAATCGATTCTTCTCCTTCCTTCCTTCACACAGTTCATTTTATTTTATTTCATCCGTCGAGATGAAACATGCTGTTGAACTGCAGCACATCATTGTCGAGAATTGAATGCAACTACTTATCTATGCTTTCATTTTTCTCACCACTTTTGTACACTACTTTTTTCCTCTTTGTTCTCTCATCGTCTCTCTTCGGAATTTTGTTACGAAACACTCGAGCGGTTGAAAGATAGAAGCGTCCTTAAAACTTCACAAACTCGATACACCAATGGTCTTAATGAATTAGTAGCAAATGCAGTAATAGTTATCATTAAGTAATGGAGTTTTCTTAATGAGATTCTTAAGATAATTATTGAAATTGATGCTGCAAATTTACTAAATAACAATTATATAAATTATATAAAAACTTATAACAATTATACAAAGTTATTGAATTTAACAATAGTTGAAAAAACACGTTGGTTTCATGCATTTTCACTAATTAGTTAAAGGATAAGCTGTAATTTGGATGCAGAATTAAGGACGTGAGAATAGTGTTAAAAAAAACGAAGATAGGTATGCATAATGCAGGTGTATGCCATTAAGGATGTACAAAGGGGTTTTTCGTTTGCATTTTAAAACGAAACAGTATCCCTTTTGTGAGCTGATTAGGGGATGAATTCTGGTTGAAGCGAGACGAGGAAGATGTTCCCTATTATCGCGAATATCCGCAGAACAAAAGGAATAATTCGAAAAAATACTGAATTCCAAGAAGAATGGAGCGCACAGCAAATAGAGGATAGCAGCAACGAAAAAAAGAAGCGGAGCGAGCGTGCTTCCGGCATTGTTTCGAAATAATTTCCGTCGAGATATTTCATACATTTTTCAATCAGAATCGAGGTCGAAACATAACGAGGGATCAAAGGCATTCCTTCATTTAACCAATATCGATTCGCGCACACCGCACACTTGACGGAAAAGGGGAGAAAGCATCCCTTTCTTAAGAAAAAAAAAATATATATCGAACATGAAGAGAGAAAGAGAGAGAGATATAAAAAGAAAAAAACAACAACAACTGGAGGAGGAAGAACACAGAATAAGCCCCTTCGGCGTTGGTGGAAAAAGGATGCGAAGAAGGAATTCTTTTATTCAACGTTGACGGGGCTTTTTTTTTATATATTTATGTGTGTGCACATCGGGCAAAGAGAAAAGAGCAAATAACGAAGCGGAGAGAGGACAAAAAAAAAGAAGCGAACTAAGGGGGTGGAAAAAAAAACACGAATTCGTCCATTAATTTCAAATTGAATATTTTCGCGACGGCTCAATCCGACGAAGAAAAAAAAACTGTGTGTGTGTGTGTAAATATACACGCGTTAATGAAAGGACTTAATTAATGTGAGCCTATTTATAAAAGTAGGACGTATCGCTTTTCCGAATCTCCGCGTCGGGAAAAATAAATCGCTCCGGTCTGACGTGAAAAGAAGTGAACGCGAATAAATGTATTAAAGCTGAAGCAACATTAAATCATTTCCGTACGAGTAATTAATACATCACGAGAATGCCATTAAAAAATATATTATGTAGTACATATTACATTATTATAATAAGAATTCTATCAATTATTGCGAATATTTAAAATTTCACAATTTTTTTATAGAAAAACCTAATTTTCAAATATTTTTTATATTTAGAAAAAAAACGTACCTATTTAAGAAATTTGTCGTGGAAGTTATATTACGTAATACATATTGCATTGTTATAATTTATCATCAATTTTTGTTTATATTTGCACAAATTATACAATTTTTTTTTATAGAAATTTTTGATAAAGAAATAACCTAATTTCCAAATATTTTTGATACTTAGAGAAAACGTAACTATTGAAGTAATTTATCATGGAAGTTATATTACGTAATACATATTACATTATTAAAATGGTTTCATCAATTTTTATGGATATTTATACAAATTACACAATCTTTTTTATAGAACTTTTTGACAAAAAAACCTAATTTTCAAATATTTTTTATATTTAGATAAAAATTTAAGAAATTTGTCATGGATGTTATATTACGTAATACATATTGCATTGTTATAATTCATCATCATTTTTAGTGGACATTTGCACAAATTACACAATTTTTTTTATAGAAATTTTTGATAAAGAAAAAACCTAATTTCCAAATATTTTTGATGCTTAGAGAAAACGTAACTATTGAAGTAATTTATCATGGAAGTTATATTACGTAATACATATTACATTATTATAATCGTTTCATCAATTTTTATGGATATTTGCACAAATTACACAATCTTTTTTATAGAAATTTTTGATAAAAAAACCTAATTTTCAAATATTTTTTATATTTAGAAAAAACGTACCTATTTAAGAAATTTGCCATGGAAATTATATTACAAATTACATTATTATAATGGTTTCATCAATTTTAGTGGATATTTGAACAAATTACACAATTTTTTTATAGAAATTTTTGATAAAGAAAAAACCTAATTTCCAAATATTTTTGATGCTTAAAGAAAACGTAACTATTGAAGTAATTTAGCATGGAAGTTATATTACGTAATACATATTACATTATTATAATGGTTTCAGTATGGATATTTATACAAATTACACAATCTTTTTTATAGACATTTTTGATAAAAAAAAACCTAATTTTCAAATATTTTTTTATATTTAGAAAAAAACGTACCTATTTAAGAAATTTGTGATGGAAGTTATATTACATAATACATATTGCATTGTTATAATTCATCATCAATTTTTATGGATATTTGCACAAATTATACAATTTTTTTTTATAGAAATTTTTGATAAAAAAAACCTAATTTTCAAATATTTTTTATATTTAGAAAAAACGTACCTATTTAAGAAATTTGTCATGGAAGTTATATTACGTAATACATATTGCATTGTTATAATTCATCATCAATTTTTGTGGATATTTGCACAAATTGTACAATTTTTTTTTATAGAAATTTTTGATAAAGAAAAAAACCTAATTTCCAAATATTTTTGATACTTAGAAAAAACGTATCTATTTAAAAAACAATCCAATTTGTTAATGTCTAAATCTTATTTAATATTTCAACATTATAAACATAGATAACATAAATATTTGCATTTATACTGAGAAAGTTTTGATTTTCTGTTATTGAATGTAAATTATTTTTATAATTTCTGTCCAAAAATAAATATATATTTTTAGATAATTTCTATAAACAGATAATCTAGAAACTAATCATAGATAAAAAGAGAAACAATTTGAAATGAAAACCTTGAATTGTATATAAATAGTATAAACGAATTATTGCATGTTCGTAATTGTCCCTAAAATGATCATATTAAATCACAATTTTTATCAATTTAACTATCTATTTATAGACGCAAATATTTCCATGCTCTATTTATTTCATAAAATGTAATTTTTAATAAGATTTGTCTTTCTTGTTTTTCTTTGTGTAGGTTTTGGATTATACACAGTACTACTTGGATCTACCCTTGGCAAACACGAATACCAAAACCGATCCGGAATGGATGGTGGAGTACAATTTCAGCTCTTACTACGGCATATCCAACATCACACCACTTTCCTTGCACAATTTGGCTGAGAAACTAACGCAGTCCACTCCGACCGAGAACCCCAGCTTTAATAGGTAAGAATTAGGGTTTCTGGGCTAATATTACGACACCAACTTCAACTACCCTTCATCTGCTGCTTGTTGTTGCTGCTACTGCTGTTGAAGGGGTGTCCATTTACGAGCCCCCTCGACTTGTCAACTCACGCACTGAAAGTTTCCCTCCTCAACTCATCTTCACCATCTCGTAAACTATTTACTGCTTCTTAATGAATTCTCACAGCCTCGTTTTCGCAGCTAATATGTATTTATAATATGTCCTTTGTGGCTTTGAACTAAACATTTTGATTACAAATTTTGCTCACAATTAATTACAAATATCTAGTTAATAATTAGAACAAACACAATTTGTCTTTAATAGATAATTTGCTTCTTCATTAAAGATCAATTCACCAAAAATTTATAAAATAAATACATCAATTTATTTATTATCTACAAAAATTAAATTTTCATATTTTTTTTTTCTTAAAAACCTTTAAAAATGATGAAAAAATGAATGTTAAAAATTCATGTCTACTTTATATTATAAAATAATTTCTTCTTAATTTTATAAAAATTATAAGTAAGTAATTATTTTTTTCTTTCATTTTCATAATAAATCATTAATAGATTTCTTCTTGTTTGAAATAACAATTATAAATATAATTGTAGTTTATAATTTATTGCCTAGTTTGTAGGTATAGTATTAATTACGGATACTTGGGTTGCGATGTTAATTGGACATTATTATTGCATAAATTTGACGTGTAATTGAGAAATTGTTTACGCAATGAATAAAATAATGGTTTGGTTTAATAATTGATCGCTACATAATTGAGATCATTTAATTACTTATTCATTGATTTTGCTGTGTTTTCTTTAAATAAATATTACTGCTTACTTTTATGTTATTTGTAAATACTTGCGTAAATCTTGTTAATTCCAATAAAAAAAATATATTGATATTAATGTTAATATTGATAAATTTATAAAAACTAATATTGAAAATTTTGAGAATTTGTAGAAGTTTTTCCTTTAGAAGACAAATTTGTCTTGGAAAATTTATTATGAAGTACATATTATATTATTATAATGGTTCCATTAATTTTTATGGATATTTGTACAAATTATACAATTTTTTTTATAGAAATTTTTGATAAAGAAAAAATCTAATTTCCAAATATTTTTGAAACTTAGATAAAACGTATCTATTTCAGAAATTTGTCATGGAAGTTATATTACGTAATATATATTACATTATTATAATGGTTTCATCAATTTTTTGTGTATATTTGCACACATTACACAACTTTTTTATAGACATTTTTGATAAAGAAAAAAACCTAATTTCCAAATATTTTGATATTTAGAAAAAAAACGTATCTATTCCAAAAATGGATTATGGAAATTATATTACGTAGTACATATTACATTATTACAATAGTTAATCAATTTTCGTGGATAATTGCACAAATTTCATCATTTTTTTATAGAAAATTTTGATTAAAAAAAAAACCTAATTACCAAATATTTTTGATACTTAGAAAAAACGTATCTATTTAAGATATTTGTCAATGAATTTATATTACGTAATACATATTACATTATTATAATGGTTCAATCAATTTTTATGGATATTTGCACAAATTACATATTTTTTTTTCATAGAAATTTTTAATAAAAAAATCTAATTTCCAAATATTTTTGAAACTTACAAAAAAAACGTATCTATTGAAGAAATTTCTCATGGAAGTTATATTACGTAGTACATATTACATTATTATAATGGTTTCATCAATTTTTTGTGGATATTTGCACACATTACACAACTTTTTTTCATAGAAAATTTTGATTAAAAAAAACCTAATTTCCAAATATTTTTGATACTTAGAAAAAACGTATCTATTTAAAAAATTTGCCAAGGAAGTTATATTACGTAGTACATGTTACATTATTATAATGGTTTCATCAATTTTTTGTGGATATTTGCACACATTACACAACTTTTTTTCATAGAAAATTTTGATTAAAAAAAAACCTAATTACCAAATATTTTTGATACTTAGAAAAAACGTATCTATTTAAGATATTTGTCAAGGAATTTATATTACGTAATACATATTACATTATTATAATGGTTCAATCAATGTTAGTGGATATTTGCACAAATTACATCATTTTTTTTTATAAAAAAAATTTAATAAAAAAAACCTAATTTCCAAATATTTTTCATACTTATAAAAAACGCATTTATTTAAGAAATTTGTCATGGAAATTATATTACGTAATACATATTACATTATTATAATGGTTATATCAATATTTTGTGGATATTTGCATAAAATACATCATTTTTTTTTATACAAATTTAACCTAATTTCCAAATATTTTTCATACTTAGAAAAAACGTATTTATTTAAGAAATTTGTCATGTAAATTATATTACGTACTACATTATAACATTATTATTACAAATTATACATTTTTTTTTGTAAAAATTTTTGATAAAAAAAATCTATCAACATTGTTGTAGAAGTAAAAATAAGGAAATTGATAATGAAAGTTACAAAGTTATCAGGAAAGAAAAATAAGTTATGTTACATCTCTCATTGGGAGAATATATCTTTTCAGTTTCATATACATATAAATGAATAATTTCATTTGAAAATAAAGTAGTTTTCAGCGGAATTGCAGTGGGTGGCTCTGAATCAAATTTAGTGTATATAACTAGGCAGTATCCATTTTTTATCGTTATCTTGCTGCAGTTTCGCAGCTATAAGCCAGAAACCAATTCTCATTTTTCTACTAAACCACCACCACTTGTTCATTTTCCTGCAGCAATAGTAGTAGAGGCGGCAGCGGCGTTTTCCTTCGGGCTTCCGCTTTTCCGGCTCAGATAAAAACTTATTTACGATCGCGCCACCCTTGCTTGTTTCAGATACTATCGTGCGAACAGCGTCAGGATGTACAGCGGCGGCGTCGGCGGATGCGACAGCAACTGCGCCCATACCCATTACTGCGCCATCACCAGAGTCGACTACGAAGAGTACGACCACTGCGTGAAGACAGCGGCGAGCGCTCTCGCCTCTTCCTCATCCGCTGACCAATCGCAGCAGCCGACGTCCTTCGTCCTCATCCTGCCCATCATCGCGATCATCGCGATCAACCGTGTGTGATAATTTTATACCAACAAAACAAAAAAATATATATTAATAACAACAACAACAACAACAAGTAACCCGATTTAAGATTTAAGGATTCAAAATTTCGATTCTAGTGCCAGATCAGCACCCCAACACGTTTCGTCACGTGACCTCACGTGACTTCACGACAAAAAAAAAACGAAAATTTGTACCAGAAAGCGAAAAGAATCTATATTTAATTATATATATATGGAATTGCTGGAGAAAATATTTAATATAAATAAATGGATAAATATATATATATATATAATAAAAAAAAGGCGGTGTACATGCAGTATTTGGATGTAAAATATTTTTATATTTTATGAAGTATTGTGTATATATTATGTAACATTAATTCGTAACAAGAAAAAAACACACACAACAATTTTAGGTATTTAGCGCAGATTATATTTGTAACGAAATACAATTTCTTTTTGTTTTTTTGTTTACATAACTAATGGACAAACCATATTTTAGCTTTATATGTGAAATATAAATATATATATAGATATACAAAACAATATATTTAAACAATGGATGCAATGTATATAAAAGCGCACTTGATTATGTAAAAAAAAAAATAATAAAAGTCCGTTCAAAGCGTTTCGTTTGTAGACTAAAACTGGAAACGCTTTGAATGAAACATTTTTAGGATATTTGTATAAAAGAAAAATTAAGGAATATTATGAATATATAAAACATAAATAATATACAAAACTCGTCAATGACAGTGAATTAAATGGAGTTTAGCACAAATCTAATGTAAACTTAAATTAAATTAATTTTTTATTTCAATTAATTCATCCACCGAAACTCGTGAAATATACACGAATCAAAGTAAAAGTTTAGATTCCAGTTCAATTTATCCAAAAATTTTACACAACAAAATCTTGTTTTTATTTAATTTATTTCTATTCAGAGTAGAAACTTCTTTGTTTTTTTTTTATTAATTACTAACATTATATTATAAAAACCAAATATATTTATGATTTTTAGAACAATCAAAATCATTTGATAAAATGAGAAAATCTGAAATTTGAACTTAGATAAATCTACAAAACTTTGAGACCAAGAGGAGATGAATTAATAATATTACTGCACATTTTTTTTTGTTGATACCGAAAATGTAATCTTAGATTAATTTAAAATGCCAAAAAAAACAAAAAAATATGTGAAGTGGATGAGGCAAGTGTATGAAAGAGATAAACGAAATATTTTTTTAGGGGAAAAAAGTTATATTGTTGATCTTCAAATTGTTTAAATTTTTCTTTATTGTTGAAAATTCGTTTTCATTAATGTAAGCTTATTTTGTGGGTCTAATTGATGTAAGTATTGCACTTGAGATGAATGTAATAACGCGTAACGATTTATATATGTAAAAGAAAAAAAACTTGTAATGAACTTTGTAAAGTTTGCAACAACAACAACAAAAAAGGAACACGGCTTTGGATGGGTGTTTTTTTTTCTACGCTAGTTGTAAATGTAAATAACTACATATTGTATAAGATATAATAAGTAAAAGAAAGTAATTTGAACCCTGTACATAATTTATTTATACTGTCGCAACAATTTTATTAATTATTTTTGGGGGAAAAATAAGGAAGAAGCACGTGCCGAAACAACACCTTATATATTCATAAAAATTATAATAATATACATACTCGTGGTCATTATTATGTAATTATATTCATGCTCTCTCTAATTGAATAGAAGACAAAAAAAAATATGAAAATAAAATGTATGTATTACTTATATAAATATGAATGTTTGCCATCCGGATGAGAATCTATTTTTCACTCTCTATCTGTCTGTCTGTCTATCTCTAGCTGTTTATATTGTATTGTACTCGATCCCTGATAATCCTCATTACTTTGTTTGTCTATTGAAACACGCAGCAATGAAGAAGTATGAATAATAAAAAAGATATATGAAAATCATTCGAATTCTCTTTTTTTAAGTTATGCAACTAAATTTACAGCAAAACCTATAGGCAAAAAGATGAACTTTACGTAATAGTGGTCGATTCCTACATTACCTACCGGCAGTTGAAAGCAACTAGCGCCATCTGGATTTAACTTTCAAATCATTGATTGCCTTAATATTTATTATCTTAACTCACTGGTTTCCAAACTTGAAGTTACTACGCCTCCCTCAAAAGTATGTAATCATTTGGCGCCTCCATCAATGAAATGTAAAAACATTGCTTTTTCGAGC